TTATGTATCTGTTTACTGCACTTAGCATTATGGCCTCAAATTGCATCCATTTCCTACAGTGATGCAGATTTATTCCTCCTTACAACAGAGTGGTACTCTACTGGATGCAAATATGACACCTCCTTTAGCCATTCACCTGCTGATGGACACCTAGACTGCTTTCACGGTTTAGCTACTACGAACTGTGCTGCTATAAATGTGGGTAAAAATGGACCGCTATAACCTACGTCTCTCTTTCAGGAAGCTCCTAGGAAAGGGAAAGTGTGGCCAAACAGACTTTCCAAAATGGCCACTTCTGACTCTTACTGATATCAAGGTTTGTTTAAACTAGGATTTTGATTGCTTCTCTTATCCTTCCGCTTTCAAGTCTCAATACTTCTAGAAAGGAAGGTAGCTCTGTTTGGCCAAATGGAATACACTGTATTCCAGGTGCGGTGCTAAGTGCTGGCCCAGAAAGGTGAACTGATTTCCTCTTCCCGGGGGGCACAGCGCTAGAGAAACAGATGGCATCTGTAGAAGCCAATCCTTTCTGCTGGGTGCCATGGCAGGGCAGATCTGAGAGGTGCTCATAACCCATCTGGTTGTCAGCCAGGGTGTCCCAGAAGGGTCTGAACCATCCACACCTGCAAAGCTTCTGCAGAAATGAAACATGTCACAGGAGGGACATGCAGAGAGGACACCCTCCCTGGGCTGGGCACTACTGGCCAGGGCTGTATGGAGCACAGGCAGGAGAGGCCATGGGCGCTTGCTGTCCCTTGGACATCTCTTGCTTGCCAGGTCCCCTGGCTGCCAGGCACAAACTGGGTTTGCTTATCTGGGTTCAGAAGACCTTAATCCTCAAAGCGGTGCACCAGCACGCAGCCCCCACTGCCCCTCGAGGTGGCTTCTAGCGAGACAGTCCTTGCAGGTAGCCCATTGGTCCAGTGCACCAGCAGCAGTGGCTGGAACATCAGCACCAGTGCGGAAGCCAGGTGACAGTGACGAAAGCCGCCGCAGCACAGCAGCTTTTCACGCGCCCTGGGGCAACCACAGGGAAGCACACACCATGGGCGCGCGCTCACTCGCCGCGCAGTGTTCCTGGACTCCAGTGGCATTGCATCCCCATAAACCCAGTGTCCACACGCTTCCTGCACCCTGTCCCGCTCAGTGTGCCCAGAACACTCAGAGCCACCCGCAGCCAGGCAAAGTAATCTTCACAAAACTGGGTTCACACACGGTGTCGATGTCCGCGCCGTGCACTAGAGGGCGCAGGGGTTTGCCCTGGAGGACGAGCAGCGCTGGCAGCTGTAGCTCTGGCCGGCCAGGAAGAACACTGCATCACCTATCCCGAGCCCCCAAAAGGCCTGATTAAGTGCTCAAAGTTTCTGGCGATCGTGGATCAGTTTCCCGCCTCTGCTGAGTGCCGAATCATAAGGCAAACTGCGTGAGTAGGGACATCTGCATACAAGGTCACTCCACCTGCACATCCCCGAGACGGATGCTCGCCTTGCACCTTTACACATAGGAAAATTAAAGATCAAGGCAGACAGATTTGATGAGCGGCCCCCTGCTCAGCATGATCCCGGTTTGTATGGTCTGACTTCAAAGTTCCTTCCTTTCAAAAACCAGCGCAGGCTGACATTCACAGGGAAGGGCCTGAAGAAGCCACAGGCCAGCCCCCGAGGGCTCTCGACTCCCAGAGCACGCTTTGCTTCTCGCGGTCTCCCCAGTGTGCAAGTGACTAGCCAGCTCCAGGGGAAACAGAATGTAATCAACTGAAAATTATGACGGATTCAAATTAAAACTGGTCGGGGAACTGGACACTACGCAGAGCCGTGCTCTGAACCTCAGAGAGCACCTGACTCGTATGGTCATGGTGAAAGTGCACATGCCGCCTTACGGCCTCAGAGCCCCAGCGCTGGGATGTCGGGAGGCTGCCGTGGACTGGCCGTGAGCAGCCAGGTCACGGAGGCACAGCACACCGAGGCTGGGCACCCTCGGCCTCCATTCCTGTGCTTGCTCAGTTCCTCGCACGACTCCCAGCACAAAGGAGGAGTCCCCGTGTGTGCAGAATGAACGAACTCTCCTCCTTCGGGAAGAATAGCTCAGTCCCTTGGGGAGAGCTTCCCAGTGCTCCCCCAGGACAGGCAGGCCTAGCTGCAGTGCCTCCTGCCTGCAGTGGCACCACCAGCTGAAGCACAGCTTCTTCTGCTGTTTTTCTTCAATCTAAGGATGGGGAGCTGCCCAGCGAGCAGAGAGGAGAGGAGGCATTCTCCAAGCGAATCTTCAGTGCTGGGGACAGTGTTGGAATGTCCAGAGGTGAGTGCTCAGTACACAGTCTATAAGTGCAGAACTGGCTTTCTAGCTCCTGAAGCCGGAGTCAACCTCGCATTGGCATTTATTTCCCTAGCTCCAAGCCTAATCACACGTCCTACGCTGAAGGAGAAATGGGAGTGGGTGTAGGAGGGGACCCAGGACCAGAGGCACAGTGCCAGCCTCAGCCTGGCGCAGCAACACGGGCTACATATGAGGAAGTGTCTCCCAGGACCAGACCCATACATCAGAGCTGTCACAGCAGAGATGCCTCTTGCCACGGAGGACAGCTGCTCCTCCAGCCGGATTTGTGTGGCCATTGTCAAGATCACTGTCCTTGCTCCGACCTGGCACTGCGACATGTCTGGCATGCCCGCCTTCTCAAAGTGGATTAGATCCTTGCCCTGCTGCCCAGAGTCCAAGCCTGGCCCCACTCTGGGCTGCCATGTATGACCAGGGCCGCACTCCAGGGTGGCTACCGCTCCAGTCCCTCCCTGGGCCTAAGTCACCCTTGTTCCCTGATCTACTACTTCAGACATTGCTGTGGCCCATCCCACCCTGCTACCACCACAACTGTGTCATCACTACCTTTACCTGTGTTCCAGAGGAAAACTAACCGACCTGTAGCTAAAGTCCACAACCAGGAACTTAGCTGTAACTGGAAAAGCAAAAGTGACGAATAAACGAATCTCTTCAAACACTTGAGTAACGTAAGAAATTCCATCTCAGTCTCCCTCTTCAGGTCCCTAAAACCTCTTCTATCCTTGCCTCTCCTGCACACAGATCCTGGTATCAGCTACCCACCAAGCCCGTCTGGGCAGTGCCCAGCAGGCCGGGGCCCAGCTTACACTACTGCTGAAGGCTTCTACCCCGACAAGCACTAGGCCTGTGCTGTGTACACGCAGGATGAAGAAAGGGGCAGGGACGGCGTGAACGTAAAGATCCTGCCCAGACGCAATGCCCCGAGACTGGGGTGCTCCGAAGCCCGCCTGGAGCGGGGCAGCAGCCAGGAAGTCGTGGGGCTGCGGAAGGACGGGGAGGCCGGGGGTCCTGGCTTCGGGGCTCGCAGCCCTCTCACAGGATTGTTTCTCCACACAAAGCTGCTCACACGCACACACGCGGGCACCTACAGAAGTCTCTGCGCGCACCGAAGAGCTCACACACAGCCACAGGGGGTGTCTGCAGCTCCGCCGGCGGCTGGAACGGGGGCCGGGGGAGGGATGGTGGCCAGCGTGTCGCTGCGGAGCGGGGCTGCGTGAGCTGCGGAGGTGGGCAGCGGCCCTGCTCTGCGCGGATGACCTGCCGGCCTCCTTGCCTGGGAGAAGCACAAGCACTGGCGTCTTCCACTGAGATGCTGTTTTTGTTTTTATTTGTTTTTGTTTTTTTAGAAATGGTGTGAACTTAAAGCAAAATAAAAAAAGAAAAGGAAACGGGGGTTCCCCCTCACCCCAAAGCCCGAGGACACAGCGCTGCTCCCGGTCTGGGAGGCACCCGAATTTCTTGAGCTCCAGTGTCTGCTGGACGCCGCCGCCCCGCTTTCACCCAGACGCGGGAAGGGGTTCGGCGGGGACCTGGCCGCGCCCCGCCCCGCCCCGCTCGGCCGCTGACGTCGCCTCCGCCGGCGCTGGCCGCGCTATAAAGGGGCTCCGATAGCGATCGATCCTCATCGATCCCCGTCGCTCGCGGCTGCTGACCCGCGGGGCAGCGCCGCCCCGGCTCCCGCGCCCTGCACCCCGCGCCAAGCCCCGG